CGCTTGATTTTTCGGCGAGCCGTGGCGCGGCGGAAGGGTGGGGGAAGAGAACGACAGCGAGTCCGAAGAAAATGACGATAATATTCATAGTCCTGCCGTCAAATAAGGGAAATTCGCATGAAAATAATATATTTGACAGTCTGTAACTCCGTTGTTTTTCAACGAATCTTGACGATGTTTCTTTTAACTTAAAGCTTTTTTCATAGGCTTCCCGAATATGTAATAATATATAACTATATCACGCTCGTGCGTCGTATATTTCATTTTGCAACTATGGCTAAAAAATAAAAAAATCCAGATTGCAAATTTGAAATTAAAAAAAATGATGTATTCAATTCAATGTGTTATTATGAAATCTACCATAAAAAAAAAACAGTGCGATTGTGGAAGATCCTCAGGATCGTCCAGACTAATAATTAGTTAATTTGTTTATAAGGCCATAACTTGTAAACTATTCAACTAACCGATTCCAGATTTCCTGTGAGTTATTAGACAGTGATAAGGAATGAGAGGATACGATGCCAAAACGTTCTGGTAATAATAACGCAGTTTGTAAATGTTTAATTCAAAAGTCATAAATAAATTTCTTCTGTTTATAACTTTTGATCTAATCAATATTTTTTGACGCTCGATTGCTAGTTTTGTAGGTCTTTTGAAGACGAAAAAAAAGTATTTTACTGTTTTCTCGTGGAAATGAACGGAAAAAAGTTATAAACGAAAAACCTGAATTTACGTAAAAATTATACAATTAACCACCCTGTAAACAATATTCCCCCCATTTTTATAACTGTGAAAACTAATACGTTATTGTACATAATATTTAGCATTTATAGTGATAAATTCAGCTTGCCGAAACAAAAAGTCGCGCCCAACTCTATCTTTCCTGGACTATAAGATTATAAATATTTATTACCGAATTGTTAACTTATTTAGTTAATTAATTAAGGTATAATTTAATTAATTAAAGTAACTAAATAATTGAGTGATGGTTTTCAAAGGAAATATTTATTGTTTGTCACACAGATCTTTCGATAAATTTGGCTAAAACAGATTACTCTATACAACATTTTAGTAAAAAAAATGCATAATATACGAAATAAAAGATAGTTACCCATATCCACCATATCCTCCGTATCCTCCGTATCCTCTGTATCCTCCGTATCCCCCGTACCCACCATAACCACCATATCCCCTGGCGAACTTAGCCCCAATTCCAGCACCCACTAGCCCGGCACCCAAACCGGCCGCCCCTATTCCCGCGACTCCCAGTCCAGCGGCGCCCAAGCCAATCGCCCCTAATCCTGCTGCTCCCAGTCCCGCGGCACCCAGTCCTGCCAGTCCAAGGCCGATCACCCTTTTCTGTCTCACGTGTTCGGAATCGGCAGGTATCGTGGCCGCTGTGGCCACGCAAGCAAGAACGGCAACGATGCACAGCTTCATTTTTGTTTGGGTTTGAAATGACTGTCGATATTTTCATCTCAGACGGCTTATATAATAACTCGGTCAGGGTGTCGATTTGAATTCGGCCTCTGCTGGCAATGACGGGTCCACGTTCACTTATTTCGATTTTTTTTTTCGGCGATTTGGGATCGGGTGAGACCGATATATCACAGTATTGCGTAAGAATGAATGAGCGGATCTTGTAGTTCAAGAACGACGGCAGGATTCTTGCCTAGTCATCAGCTTTTATTTAATTATATTTGAGAGCTATAATTAAAGGTAAACAATGATTTTCAAATTTTGTTCCGTTTATTGCGGATACCTCTTGATACACAAGTTGATTCACGCAAATCACTGTTAGGTATAACAGGAATTGTCGATATTCTGAGTGTTTATAAAGTGTGGTGTATAAATCTGAAAAAGCTGGAAATCTGGAAGTACCGGAGAAATATCTGGAAATTCCAATTAGTGGAGCCAAGATAGATTTTTACTTCGCGAAAATTACTGGAAGAGAGAAATTTTTATTTTTTGCTTTGTAAAGTTGTCAGAAACGACATATAAAAGGTTACCAACTGTAGAGTGTACGCTAAATTATTTATTTAACAAATTAGTTGCAAAATTACAGTTTTTGCAAAATATNGCTCTGAGTAATAACGGCACATCTTTCAATAACGCGGGCTTTGCAAAAATTCTAAATAAATTTTCCCATTCAGTCTATTGGGTAGAATAACAGAGCCGATAATAATGCCATCAATAATCCCAAACTAAACATTGATGCGAAATCCAGCTGATAATGTTTCAGTTTGGTAGCATGTGGATTTTCCTGAGCATACACATGTTCATTGTGAATATTTATTATTAGTGGAGTCAAGATAGATTTTGACTTCGCGAAAATTACTGGAAGAGAGAACTTTTTATTTTTCGCTTTGTAAAGTTGTCAGAAGCAACATATAAAAAGTTACCAACTGTAGACTGTACGCTAAATTATTTATTTAACATATTAGTTGCAAAATTAGTTTTTTGCAAAATATAGGTATAAAAAAATATAATTAAAAATAAATTACTGCGCCATTCGAAAGAACAAGAAATTTTACATAAAAATTGTTAATAGTTTTTTTCGATAATGCGAATTGAAGGCTGTAGAATTTTTTTCCTAACGTACGAAAAATGAGACGGGCGGTCCCCAAGTATCGCTCACAAATATTTAAATGAAAGAAGAGTCATCCGGCTATCAAAATTGTATGTCTTTAAACTTGAGAAAAAAAAATATATAGTACGTATACAAAGTTACGTCATTCTATAATTTTGTACAATAATAATAAAATAGCTGTCATTCTTTTAATTTTTAAAATAAATATATGTAACTATCATAGATTACTCTTCAAATGACAATTGAAACAGAGAGCGATATGGAAAAAATCTTAAAAATTTAATTTGAAAAATATTGAGCCTAACATATTCAATAATTATTTTAAAAAATCACAAATTTTACTTTTTAGGCCATACTTTATAGATCAAAAACTATAGTTGTAAACGTGATATTGAAACTTTATGAGAGCACTTTTTAAAGCTTAAAATCTTTACTTTAAGATGGTGCATTTTATTTTTCTTAAAAAATTGAAATAATACTTGAAAAAACAGAAAATAACAAAAAATAAAAATATTTCATGAAAAATCCGTAAAAATTTATTGTTAAATAAAGTTTAATAATGTACAAAAACAATTTCTTTTTGTTTAATAAACCATCAAAGAATTAAGTTAAGTCCTTAAAAAAAGTAAATCCAGCGAAATTTTTTTTTTTATTTATAGTAATAAGTGGAAAACTGTTAGAACAGCAAAAAAAAACGTTTTTTGATGAATTGATTTAATAATAATTTTTAAAACGTATAATTCTGTATCTGAAATTCTCTTATTGATATAGACAGAGATATGAGTCAAATATATATTAATTTTGAAAGTTGTTTTTCTTGTCAGTTTGGGTGACGAAGCTAAGCAGTGAGCACATCAAATATTTTTTTGTTACTTACAGTTTTATTTATTTTAAAAGCATTTTTCGTTTATAAGAATTAAGTAATTATTATTATTAATGGTATAAGAATATGATTCTTATGTTTTCTAGTAAGCTGCAGTTATCAGTGTATTAAAAAGTGTATTATTCACATATTTTGTCTATTTTGAGGTTATACTCTCGTACACTTGTAATTCTTTAATGTAATATTATTACTTCATATAATCTTCAGTTTGGTTTAAGGTATTTATATTCGTTTTCTTTCATGCTAAACCTGTAAATGTGTAAATGAGTTTAATATTTATATATGAATATTGATCTATTTTTAAAATAATGAACAAACAAATAATAGGGGACGTTGATTTTGATTTTGTAATTTTGTATTTAAAATCAGTGTTTTTTGTTCAATTTTATTGGCTTAAAGCCGTAAGTGCCCAGTTATTTTTTAAGAAGAGCAAGAACTCGATGAGATTTAAAAATTAATTATTTTGTAATAAATTTGTTTTTTAAAAAATAAAACATATTTTGAATAAAAGCTCTTTAGCCATTTATAATTTTCATTTTTCGAACTTCTATATTACAAATTTGAGCGAGTTTGATTTAAAATCGATAATTGTTAAATAAATTGTTTAAAATAGTCGGCCATATTGGATGTCATTTTGAATTTTCATTTTCCGACATTATATTCTTGTTTAGCGACCTCAAAAACCCCTATATTACAAATATAAGCGAGTTTGATTTAAAATCGATAATTGTTAAATAAATTGTTTAAAATAGTCGGCCATATTGAATCAGCCATTTTGAATTTTCATTTTCCGACTTCA